TAAAATGATTATATAATTGGGTGGGAGGTGATAACTTAAAATAATTATATAATTGGGTGGGAGGTGATAACTTAAAATGATTATATAATTGGGTGGGAGGTGATAACTACAATGATTATATAACAGGGTGGGAGGTGATAACTAAAATGATTATGTAATTGGGTGGGAGGTGATATAACTTTTGCAACTTGCATAATAATTTAAAGAAATAACCTGAACTATACTGTAACATCAATGTCTCTGTAGCACTAGTGTAACTCTGTTAATTTTAGGTACAATTTCATTTATATTACATTTATAATTGTACAAAACTACAAAACCTGAGCACATTTGAAAGGTGGGTCTTTCTTAATCAAGGGCCTGTGATGAAGCAAGTTCAAACTCTCAGGTTACAGAGTTTTGTATTTTTTGTCTTTAATTAATTTTTGAACCTATATTTTTCCTAATGTCAGGAATGTATAATTTATAAAATAGTTTTGTAACACAGGTATAATATTGTGATCTTTAGTGACCTCTCTCTCTCTACCTCAATTATGTTACATATTAATACATTTCACCTTATCATATGTATACTGGTATCTATACAAATCTTTGATTCTTTATTGCATAACCTCTCTTTTTCTTTATTACAAGTATCACTCAAATAACTTTTCCATAACCTAATCATTTCCAACCCACATGGTCAGTACATTAAATTTTAGATGGGAATATTTTGTGAATTCATTGACAGCACAGCAATAGGAAAGTATAAATCATTTCCTACTTTCATGTAGTACAAAGGATCTTTTGAGGGAATTTTGCACTTACAGGAATATAAAAAACAACAACTTACGTTGCTCCGAGGAATAAAAAAAAAGAAGTTATCATACAGACTTCTTAGTTTGTAGCAATAGAGTATTTATCTATTTTTACGAGTTTTGAATAAGATTTTAGAGTATATCAAAATTTCTTAATTATGCTTGAATTATTTCACAGAGCAGTCTGAATACTTTCTTCTATTAAATTTAAATATAATCACACATTATAGTGAAGTAAGAGGAAAGCTCTAAATTACTCCACAGTTGAATTGGAAGAACTTGGTAATTTCAGAGATGTATGTCACAGTGTCTATACAGATTCTGTGCAGCATCTGGTATGTTTTTGGATATGACATGAATGTATCTATATATAAACACAATGATATGATACGACAAACTCAAGTACCACTCTTTAGTTTTTTTATCGTGTTTTTGAGAGCTTGACGTTTGTTACAGAACCAAACTCGTACTACTTCCCTCTCATAGTTCAACTGTTCAGCTAATTCTGTCATCTCAGCTCCTGGGAAAAAAAAAAAAAAAAATAAAAGATTACGTGCCAATAGAAACCACAATTAAGCTATTCAAATAATTCTGTCATCTCAGCTCCTGGGGAAAAAACAAAATAACAAAAATTACGTGAAAACAGAAACCATACAAAAATAGTAGTGTTTAAGACTGAGCATATTTATAGAGAACAATAAAAATCACGCTGGACATATCTTGTTTTTTTCTCTGTTCCTCTTAACCCTATGCACAACACAACCATTTACAGAGTGCCATTCCACATGGTGTTATGTATTTGACGTTTACTTTACAATCACTGACTTAGCAAAGTTCTTGGTAGAGAAAAGCAAATACCATATGAAATATACAGCAAAACTGACAAAAACTGTAGATATGCATTTTGGAGGTTCAAGAGGTTAAACAAATGCAATACGCGAACTGTATGATGGATAAAAGTATTTTTTATTCTTAACACAAACATCACCTTGCACTTTGACTTGTCAGAGTGATGTTGTCACTTCACACGCTTTACAGACTTGACCACATGCTTTACAGATGTATGGCTTTATGCCAATGTGTAGCCTCATGTGCCAGGTGAGCATTCACTTTGCGACAACAATAAACATAGTAAATTCTGAAATATAGTTAACATTCTTCCTCCTTTATTGGGTTGGTCCAATGGAGTGACCTATGTGTATCTCCTACATGTTTTAATACAGTTTCACTTAAGGTCTTAGATACTTACACAAAAAGATCTTCTTGTATAGCCAATAAGACGTGTAGTGTTTTTACCTTGCTTACTTACATATGTCACAAAACTAACCTGAAGGATGGGTATTTTTTTCAAAGAATTTGTTCAATAATTCAATAGCTGCGGGTGTGAAAGACGTCCTTCTCTTTCTTTTCTTGCTCGGCTCACTTCCGATGAACTCAGTCAAGTTGTTACCTCCATTTTTGTACCTCTCTTCTGCCTCCTTCATCCATCTTTCAAGCACAGGTTTGATCTTTTGGGCACTTTTAGGGGTTATGTCTAGTTTTTCAAACCTAAAAAAAAAAAAAAAATTGATAGGCATTTTGCCCACAACTCAACTAAATTAATAAACTCACAATAAGCAAAACTGGTTTTATTTTACTAGGCACAGTGTAAGCCTTTTTGTAAATTCAAAGTTATATTTTAAACATCTGACTTACCTACAGATGGCACTTTGGCTGTATGAAGGACCTTCTGTTGCACTTAAGGCTTGTCCAACTTGGGTTTGAGTCAAGCCAAGAGATAAACGGCGAATTTTGAAAGCTTTGGCAAAGTCTTTGATCTCTTCAAGATTGATTCCATCAACAATATTTGATGTTTGATTACTGATGGTGTCTGTAGAAATACAGTTTTTTTTTTAGTAGTTATGGCTATCAAATATATACATTCACAGGCACAAAAAGACATATGAAAGTGTGGCTCTCTGATAATTAGAATAAATATTTACAAAGCTACGAAATGAACAGAACTTAATTCTAGCATAACTTCAATGTTGATTAACCATTTCTTTCACATTATTAGCAATATCTATCATCACTTTTCATTACTGTAAATAAAGTATTGAAGAAAAGGATGAATAGAACACGACCTATTACTCCAGAAAAATAACTTTTTATTTATGCCAACAATTTACCATTACAGTTTCCATGAGCCAACAAGACACTTGTTTGCCCCACTGAAGCCATAATTGTGAAATGTTGGCTTAACTAAAAATGGTTACAGTAATAGGTTGTGTTCTATCTCTCTTTTTTTAACCATAAATACAACTCTCCAGTTTGCAAATGCAAAATTTAAACTCTCATTAATATTAGAAAGTTTACACAAAACATATATTCATAAGTTCTCATAATTTATAAGACAGAATGGTGGATGTCAACTGACCAAAACACTACACAACATCTACATGTGTGCTATTTGGGGATTACAGTAAAGTACATCAAATATTATTATTTTCTATAATATAAAATATTTTTACACATATAAAAGCTTATTCAATAAGATGGATGATCCAACAAAGACATAACTGATATACCTGACTTGTGGTACGTGTAGATATAATAACAGTGAAAAAAAAGAAGAAAGGCATAATAAAAAATATAAAAGACAAACTGGTGTGTATAAATGCTTCCCAAAATCTTCATGCTGCAACTAAAACAAAACGTGAAAGAATTTAAATAATACTTTTTAAATTGTGAGCCGCTAAAGAGTGTTACTGCTTCACTGTTCACACTGGAAAGGAAACACTGCAATGATCAGGTAAATAACTAAGCCTATTTGTATTAAAGCAGAAAATTATTTCTTCTTGCTTTACTCTAATTCAATCATGTATCAAGCAATTCAGTTTTAATTTTCCATTAAGGTTTGTCAATATTTGTTATACTAATACACTGCTTCACTGTTCACACTGGAAAGGAAACACTGCAATGATCAGGTAAATAACTAAGCCTATTTGTATTAAAGCAGAAAATTATTTCTTCTTGCTTTACTCTAATTCAATCATGTATCAAGCAATTCAGTTTTAATTTTCCATTAAGGTTTGTCAATATTTGTTATACTAATACACGAGTGAAATACAAGATGTAAAAAGCAACTACACACACACACATACCCACCTCAATATAGCAAAACAGAATAAAGTGTGTTAACAAATATGATACAAAAGTTATTATAACTCTGTAACTATATACATATTTAATAACGAACAATACTTTGTTGGAGTTGGCACCTTTAAATTTAATAATTTGTACATGACAAACATGGTTTACCTTATCACTATCCAACTTCAACAGAAATTCCAGAATAAAATCAAAACAACTGTTTGACTTACCAAACGTACTATCCAACTTCAACAGAAAATCCCACTACAACATCTGTTTTTTATTTTACCTTAACAATGATTGGTTATTACAATAACTTTAATACTATATATCACGTTTGCATATCAGGACAACAACTGTCATAAGCCACAATAACAATAAAACTGATACCGAATATCATTTCAACTAAGACTTTATATATCTTATAACTCAAGCTGCCTCATGGTATTGAGAAAGACCATGTGTCAAAGACTCAGCAGTACCATGAAAGTATAATTGATAAGTTATCCTATATTCTTCTTAAAAAAAACAAACAGTTTGGACTTTTTATAAGCGGACATGATAAGATTCTGAAAGAGGTCACGCTTACACATTACACACCATAACAGCTACACATGTTGTTTATATAACCTTTCAACAAACACTATCCTTGCTGTCTATTAAACTTAAAGGAAAAGGTGCCATCTACATTAGAATACAAAAACTAAATGTCACTGACATGCTAATATTCATTCTTCTTAATGGAAACCCAAACAAAGTCAGTAAAAAAAATAAGTAGTTAAAATTATCATTCATTTTATTACAATAACTTTTTACACTTGTTGCCACAAAACAAATGCTAAATGAAGTGAGAGGAATAAAAAGTTTTAGGAAGGATTATTTACCAATAATATTTCTTTAGTGAGTAAATGTACTTTATGTTAAATAAAAGATTAATTTACCAACTCGTACTTTCCCCATTGAGACATTATATTTTTCTATGTAATCTACTTGCTGAACAAATGCACGACTGCCTTATAAATCGCATGTGAAGTAAATTTCCTACAAACCTATAAGAATGTTGATTTTGTAACGAAATCCACAGGGTTCCCCACACAATCAGCAGAAAGAAACTGAAGAATAACTCCTGAATTCCAAGAATTATTTCATGTTTTTTTTTCTAGAATTGCTAGCTTAAGGTTGGTGCTTTTTTTGTGAAAACAACATTTCAATCAGTGATTTTCTAATACCTCACCATCCCATACTTTGATAGAGATTCTGGCAGGTACTGCCAAGTACTATTCTTAGCAAATGAGCAAACATTATACTCAAGAAATGAAAATATATATATATACCGTATTGCCCCTAATTAAGGACCCGGGGGTGTTGAAAACTGCAGGGTGTGGGCACTAATTATAGTAGTTGTGCAGTTCCAAAGGTAATAAAAGTGGATTATATGTTGAATTACTATTGCCGTCACACAAGGTGAGCTTTATAAAAATACTGGGGGGGAAGAGATAATTCGAGAGGAGGTGTTAATTAGGGGCAATACAATTTTTTGTGACTGACTAATTTGCCAACAAAAGTACTTGCTTTATCTACCCATGTACTTTCTTGCTAATTCAAGCACAAGTTACGGGTCATCTTGAGACCACGGCTCCTGTACTGTCACTTTGTTTACTTTGACAAGTTTGTGCTAATCCAAGTTCTATTTACAATCTCAACAACTGTGAAAGCTTTAGTTATAAACATTACAGATTAAATTAACAAGTACGAGCAAAATATAAGACAAACTTGTAACAGCTTTGTTTTGAGGTATGTTTATTTGGCTTATGACACTTTGCTTTTAGATGACCCCTACATAAGGCTATAATTCAAGTCAAGATATCAAAATATAAGACAAACTTGTAACAGCTTTGTTTTGAGGTATGTTTATTTGGCTTATGACACTTTGCTTTTAGATGACCCCTACATAAGGCTATAATTCAAGTCAAGATATCAAAATATGGCTGTTGAATACAATGGACACAACAACCATTGATGCCCTAACACTCTAAGTGTCATATTATAAGAGTAGCTTAGAGACTTACTTCAAAAATACTTGTTTAAAATCAACACATCGTTGGTCTTGATGGTGATTCATAAACATATGGACATCTAACCATGGCATAGTCCTTGTTGTATGGCACTTTCTTATAGGATCAAGGTGTACATATGTTGATGACATAAACCATACAATCCACCAATGGTACACACTTTTGCAGCCGAAGCTGAATGATGTTTAGGTGACCAATGAGTAGACAAAGTAATTTTCCTGAATCCTGTGTAGATTTCCCGAACTTGACAAAAAATTCCAGAATATTTCCAGACCAGAAAATGATTAAACAAAATTCCTGAATTTTTACCAATTTCACGAAGATGTTGGGAACCCTGGTTCCATTCCTTTGGTTTTGTACAAATACTTAGCCAACAGAAGTGCATCATTCCCAGGTAACTAGCCAAATTCACATAACTCAACTTATTTTACAACTCACAAGTTTAATTATCTTCAAAGTTTTATAATTTATAAAGAAAGAATAGAAATACTAGCCTGTATTCTGAGAAAACATACTTGAAGCTTGAATTGTAGCAATAGTTGGGGAGACATCTGTAGAAGAAGAAATTTCCCCTGTGATATTCTGTTGTGTTGCATGAGAAAGAGTAGTTTCCTGTGTTGGAGGTAAATGCTGGGTTGCAGTCTGTAACAAGAACGATTAAACCCGCACAGTTCTTATACGGTACAACTTCAAACATTTACACAATAAATATATATATTTCTTCATAACCTTTGCCTTACAAGATCGGAGTACTGTTATTATAGCGGTTAAAACATTAACAAGATTTTTGTGTTTTAACTTCTTTGCTAATACAATGAATTATGACAAGTTTATTTATTAAGATCAATTTTCACTGTTGGTTTTGTGTGTATGGAATTAGAACTAATTTCATACATACAGGTTAGTCAAAACTTCTTACAACATTAATGGAACTTGGGGTATCCAACTGATAATTCAACACAACCTGATCATTCTCATATCTTCTAATTACTTTTTTTATATTGCATAAAATATTAACTCTTTCCATACAGGCACCTTTTTCTGTACATGCCATGAAGGTTTACTGAGTTACATTCAAAATTTAATTAAACTAATTTATATGAATAAACTTGGCATAAAAATAAAGTTGGGCATGTCATCACGTTTGTTGACTCACAATCATAAATTTATTGATATACTATTTTTATGAATGAATGTCAATAATTTTGGTATCACATTGTGTATTATAATTCAAATTTCAATATTATACATTAGTTAATTCCTTAATTTAAAAGTAAATATTAAAACAAAATTCCTAAATGTCAATTTTTGTGTGTCAAATGATACGTTAAATGCAGCTTTGGTTCAAATTACATGTTGTCCAAATACAAAGTCTATTGTTCCTTATGAAATAGAAACTCAAATTACCAATGTTAATATAAAATAAGAATCTCCTATCTTTTCTATTTTCTAAGATATTAATACACTTAGTAAATCAAACAACGTGATCCCACCCAACTCTTCCATTTTTGGAAATACTTGTTTACGTACATCTACTTTGCTCCGATGTGTCTTATAACCAATCAAACATTCAGAATTTCTCCCAGATTGGTTTCTCAGTCTTTGTGAGATTTTTATGTAAAAAAAAAAACTTTCTTTTTTAGTTGTAGGCTCAAAGAGAAGAGGTAAGATGAAATGGTGAATGAAAAATAATATGTTTTTAGACCCAAATACAGCTTAGTTACTAAGCCTGATAAATTACAATAGAATTCTGTGGTATTGATATAGTAATTTATGATTTTTTTGTTATTTCAAAATACACATATAAAACCTAAAAAAAATTATTTTGTTTTACAACCTCCACATGCGAAATATAACAAGGCTTAGTAAATTACAGCAAGCAAGTTGTAACAAAAAGTAAAAGAGATAATTGTTTTTTATATTTATTTATTTATTGTTCTATGTTTTAAGAAAAATAACTGAAATTTAAGAACTTATTTGTAAATAGTAATAATGTATATACATATGTAATGTATTATAACTGAAATGTAATTGTATTTCACAAAATACTGGTCCACGAGAACAAAGCTAAGACAGCTGCACTTTGTAAAGGCCAGTTTTATACTACTGAATATGGTAACATGTGCTACATGTGCCCGTGTACAATTTCTGTAATGTTAGACATGGCTGAAAGGTCAAAAAAATAAAAATAATAATTATGTCTAGATGTATAATGTAATGAAATTTAAGCTATTTAGAATGAATATTTGTGGATTCCTGTTTCAATTTGTAGTCATTTTTTTTATGGTGGTTACGAGGTTGGTCAAATTGACCAAACCTGTACAGAAATAAGACAGAGAAAATAACAGATAAATCTGTAATACTTTACTGCATATCTATAGTCCAAAAGTATGAATTTAGAATCACACAATAAATAAATAAATAACAAAAATTAAGAACAAGTAGAATTTAACTCTTTCAGCACAGGCTCGATCCCTGGGACCGACCTCGTAACCATTTTGTGCTTGTTATAGTTTTCATGCTATAACTTTTAAATTAGTAAGTGCAAATGTTAATGACATTTGGCAGATTATCAGTAAACATTACAATGCTTTTATATGCAAAATATCAAATTTATTTTATTAAGGTTTATAAAGCAATGTTTTTCTCATGTTTTTTTTTCTTTTTGCATGTTGCCTATCTATCATGCAAAGTAATGACCATTTTAAGATTAAAAATACTTTTATGCACCAGAAAAATTTTGAAATTTCACAAGCGAAATCTTTATAATGTTGAGATAGTTATCAAATGTTTCTTAAGAAAAAACTTTATATTTTATCTGTTATTTTCAGTAATTAATCTCTGTACGGGTTCAGTAGATTTGACCGATCTCCTAACCACCATAAAAAATTAGGAAATAAACATAAATTATGCCTCTTTCATTCTAGATTGAACACAAATAATAACACAAAAACATAAATGTTTAGATTAAATAGCTTAAATCTCATAAAATTATACATTTACATATATTTATTATTTTTAATCATACTGACCTTTCAGCCATGCCTGGCTAACAATACAGAAGTTACAATTACGCAGCTCACATGCACTCATATTACCGTATCAAATAATATAAAACTGATCTTTGGTCTGTGTAAAATAACTTGTCTTGGCTGTATTTTAGTAGACTAGTATTTTGTAAAATAGTCACATTTCAAATATTATACATTATATATGTACATAGATTATAGTTATTTTGAAATAAGTTCTTAAACTTATTTTTCTTAAAACATAGAAGAGTAATTAAAGAAGTAAAGCAAACAATTATCTCTTCTAGTTACTACCTTTGTACTAAGTTGCTGTTTGATGTAGGTTGCTAAGCCTTTAAAAATTTTTGTACGTGGAGGGAATGAAACAATTTTTTTAGGTTTTATATACACATTTGAATAACTAAAAAATCATAAATTACTACATCAATGCTAAAGAATTCCACTATAATTTATCAAGCTTAGTAACTAAGATGAATTTTAGTGTAAAAGTATATGAAATATCGAGCAGACTAAAGACACCTGTTGAAATATTGGTTCAAAAAAAAGAAACGGCATCAAGTACGTTGAAATAGCTGAGAAAGCCACTAGGGGGAAATTCTGAGCTTCTGATAGGTTATTCATGTCATATATAGAAGTAAGTGTATATAAGAGAGTATTTCCAAAAATGGAAAGAGGTGTGCAGGGTGCCACTGTGTTTGATTTATTACATGAGCAATATCTTAGCAAATTGAAAAGATAAGAAGCTCTTATTTTATATTGTAGCTTGTCAATATTGGTCATTTGAGTTTCTAATTCGTTTGACACTATAGACTTAGTATTTTGACTTAAAAAAAAATTTAACCAGTGCTGCATTCAACTTACCACGTTACACACAAAAATTTATGTTTATCTGTGTTTTTTTTAATATTTGCTTTTAAACAAAGAAACTGAGTAATATATAGTACTAAAACTTGAGATATAATTTACAGTTCGATACCAAACTTATTGAGATAAATTCATGAAATAGTAGTTCAATAAAATTTTGAATGCGAATCAACAGACAAGATGACATGGCCTTTAACCGTGACCCGTCTTGAAAAGGTTAATTCAATAGCATATAAAACACTATAATTTAATTTTTTGCTAAATCATTTTTAAAACTTATTATTAATTTAAAAAAAATGTTTTAATCACCATTTCAGTCATGAGTTTAGTTGGCTCTCACCTGCACAGAACTGGGTTTTGATTGGCCACCTAGTTGGGCTGTCACCATAGCAACTTGTTTTAAGGAGAGTTGAGATGTTGGTTGTTGGACTCCTAAAGCCTGTGTATTAGTTGTTATGGCAACTGCTGAGGGCTGTAATAAAAGTAATAATTAACTTGAATATATAATTAAGAATTCCCAGTTAATTCTTAAAAACTGTGAACAACATAAAATACTTGGTTAAAAACACAAAATCAGAGAGACAAATGTTTCAGTCTGTAATAACTGTCACCTTCTACAGGCTAACAATGGCATAACATAGGATGATATCCAGTATAAAGTTGTATGCTAACATTGTTATTCTTGTTATTATCCAATGCATAAATTTCCCAAGACTCTCTAAGTAGTTGCAAAAATTTGCTTGTTTTGGCAAAAAAAACTTACAAACTCAGTTTCTGGCTACAATAACAGTCTTAGGTGATTCTAAATACAATTACTAATTAATTTATAAAATGTACGATAAGATTTTTTAGGTCAAAGCTGACCCACCAAGGGGCTGGACAATAAGAATATAAATACACCACAACAGAACTGAAGTATTTAATTGCAAAAGAAGAGTTGAGATGAAACTTGTACATGTTTTAATAATAATGCCTTCAAATGCTTTTTACAACAGTTATTTTAAAACTTAACTTTATTGGGTATATAATGTCTAAACTGACAAAGCATAATACATTAATATTTAATTATGTAATATTACATCCTCTTAATATTATAATTAAGTCTCCAACATTTAACAGTTAAAGTGTATTTAGTCAAAAAATAATGTTGAGTCGGAAACTCTCATATGATACACGTTTTAGGAACAGTGTTTGAACTTTGAATTTTGTACAGATTTTAACAACAATGTTTGAAACTAGTACATATTAAACTAAGATCTTGCACGTTGTAATTTAGTCAACCTTGTGAGCTACGATGTTGAACAACAGAAAGTTTGTAGGTTTCATAAAGCACATGAAATTTTATGATACTTGGGTTGGGCATGGCCTTGTGGCTTGATATGCTTGTACTGTGGGTCCAAGGATTCAATGTTCAAACATCACTTTGTACTTTGAGACCACTATGGGGTTAGAAAAGCATAGCCCAAGAGTTGGAGATGGATGGTAACCACTAGGAGGCAGTTAGCCCATTGTTTAGCTGTACTCATAAATTCTAAAACAACAACAATGATTAAACTTTTTTTTTTCCAAAACTCAAATTGGACCAATAAAGAAGAATGTGATTAAAATACTAAAAATTTCATATTGATGTAATATTACTCTTACAACAAACTAATTAATTCTTATTGTTTGAGCGTTTTCAGTAGAACCCTGGATTAAATATTCAAGATACCTTTTAAAATGGTATGTTAAGAGGTTCTGCAATGCTTGAGAAAAAGTACAGGTTTCCATGAAAAGTAAACAGAAGAGTAAATAAAAAACAAAGAAATTTCAGTACCTTAGAATCTTACATGAAATTTACATTATATATTCTTAAAGATTATACAAACCAACTGTAAGATAAAACAAGAAATTTAGGTCCATAAATTTAAATTTTCAACACAACTAATAAAGATAAGATAGAAAATGCTCCCAAATTACATACTTTGGTTATTTGTTGTTAAGCCCAATGTTACCCAATGGGCTATTTGTGTTCTGCCCACTGTGGATATTGAAACTCTCAGATTTATCACTTAGCCACCGGAACATGAAGTTTGAAAGCATTGGCCATATATGCCTTATAAAGGCACACCAACGATTTAACTTTAAAACTTAACATTTACACAAATTTGATTCATCAATTTGCTTTATTTTATAACTAAAAATCAAAATTTTTAGTAAAAGCTTCTTTGAGTGTCATCTAGAGAAACTATCTAGAAATCTATACTATTATTCTGCTTGTTTGTATGTATACGACTATTACACTTTCTGACCGAGCATGCGTAGTTAGAATGTTTTCCCCAAAAAAAACACTCATGCGCATTATTCACTCGACGACAAACAGTCTGCCTGTGGCAGAGAGCTGCAAAGCTCAGTCATCAAATTGCTACAATTGCTGTATGAAACAAGAA